AATTTGCTGGCAACTTCAGACTTGGACTTTATTAATTGGCTCAAAAGCTACATTTTCAAAATTTATATAAAAGATCTGATCAGAAATTGTGATCTGATGAAAGAGCCTCCGAGCCAATAATTTTGTACGGCACTGTACTTTCAAGTACTCTAGGTTTCATGAAAGAAAAAAACTTAAGTACAAGATAACATTAAAATATCAGTCATATTATTCGTTGCTGTGAACTTGTTTCAAAACTTCTGTCTTTTCCTTAATATAATTGTAAAACTCTGTGCATGTCATTTTGAACGTATTTAGGTACATATACTAATCATCAACTATTGCTTGTGCAAAGTTCAACTATCTCAAAATGTGACTATTTCACAAATTAAACCGGTGCACTGAGAGAAAGATGTTTAGAATTAAAAAAGCGTGCTAAATTAAAAAAATACGCATATGAAAGAGCACCAACCCAACTCGTAATACATTTAAATATACAAATTTTAGTATTTAGTATAGAAATATTCAATTCAAATACGCCCATATTAAAATGTAGCGATTTGCAATTACCGATTGCTTTGAGTTTGAATCAACACCACGCGTGCGTGTTATGAAAATATTATTTTTAAATACGAACATTTTTAAACGATAATCAAATATCAAATCATTTTTCAATGATATTGTGGCTTATTAACATTTTATTTATTTTCTCATATTTTTATTCAGCTTTGTACCACGATTGTTTATTAGGAAAAATTGAAAAAGCAACAAAGTCTCAGCGGTAGAAGTTATAGCAGCTATTTCGGAGATCACCACATCTCCTCATCAGACTTATTTTTTTCTAGACTTCAGCACTACTATGCGTTATTTCCCTCAGTGAATTCATAACATTTTTCTGAATATTACAACGCGTTTTTTCTCTTAGTGTAGTGATTTTTGAACTTTTACTCAAATTTGTGCAATCAAATCAAAAACTGGGACACTAAAACGAAACAAGGGACATTTTAAGGTTGGACCGGGACACCGGGACAAATAGTCTAAAACCGGGACATGTCCGGGAAAACCGGGACGTCTGGCAGACCTCCAGATTCGCGGGGATTACAAGGAGCTGCTTCAGCTAGCATTTGCTTTTTTAGGTGGTACTAGTGGTGATTTTCGAACATGCGGCCTAACATCCCATGCGCGGTTTATGTCGAAAACTATTTATTGCCTGAAGATATTTCTTTTTCGAGAACAGTTCAAACTGACGCCAAGAGAATTTAATAGTTTACGAGATATTTGCATTTTCCTCATTCGCCTTTATATGAAAGCTTGGTACCAGTGCACAAATCCCATTAAGGCTCCAATGCAAGATTTAAAATTTTTACAAAATGCAATTGAGTACGCCCAAACTGATGCAGTGGTATCCAATGCGGTTTTGAAAAAGTTCAAAAGTCATTTATGGTACTTAATGCCGGAGACAACAGCTTTAGCGTTTTTTGATAATGATGTGCCAGTGGAGGAAAAACGAGAAATGGGGAAGGCACTGCAAGCGGTCGAGCCAAACGTAAAATTCAGTGAAGATAGAGTAATTTCAAATCCCGTTCTCTTGATTGGCAAAACTATTAGAGATTTCGTGTCCTACAAAACTAAAAATTTCTTCGTTGCCTTTGGTTTGTCTTCTGACTTCTTACGGATGGATCCGTCCGATTGGGGAAAAAATGAAGATTATATAGACGCTCTCGAATTTTGTCGAGATTAATTCGTTGTAAAAGACACAGCTGAGCGGGGTGTTAAATTTATGAAAGATTACAATCGAATATTGACAAAAAATGAGGAGCAAAAACAATTGGTGCTTCAATTTGTAGAAGCATATCGAAAAAAATATACATCACACAATAAATCGGCACTTGTTTATTAAAAAATCATGAAATATAGTTTTATTTTTTACAAGCTTTTTCTGAAATATTCTTTTCTTATCAAATTTGGCCACATTTTATTGAATTTGGCTACTGGGCACTAGGTTGACCAGATGAGCTTTTCAAGCGGTTATTAGACATTCTTTTGAGCGTAGTATTACTTGAAAATAAGGATCATAATATAAATACATAATACATTCAATAAGTACCATTGTTTCAGTTTTACAAGTATAAATGTATCCCGCAGAAACTTCCAAACCTTATCTAAAAATCAAATGTTATTTTGCTATCTCAATTTATCTTATTTTATCAACTTTTTTGCTGGCCAAAGCGTGATAATTTGTAACAATTGTTAAAAAATATTTAAAACTATTGCTTAATGAAACAAACCTATTGTCAGCTGTTTTTATACCCGAGCGCACTTGTGCACAAGGGTATTATAACTTTGTTCACATAACGGTTGTTTGTAACAGGCAAAACGAATCGAGATAGATATAGACAAATGTATACATAAATGGTCAGAATGCAAAGAGAAATCGATTAAGCGGTGACTGTCTGTCCGTCCGTCGGTCTGTGCACACGATAACTCGAGTAAAAATTGAGATATCTTAACGAAACTTGGTATGTGCACTTCTTTCGGGCGTAGGACGGATGGTATTGAAAATGGGCAAAATCGGACAATAACCAC